AGCCTCGCACCAATGACCTATCCACGTCATAATTTACCCAGAATGCTTTGTGTGTAAATTTAAAATGGCTCCTTCCATGTTAAAATATACTTTTAAACTTATAGTTTAAAAATGATAAAAACTAAACATCCTACAGTATTGTTACAGTCTTTATTTTACAGTTAAAATATATGTTTATTAAATAAAGTCTAATGTTACAACTAATCAGAGATCCCTTTAACTCATCTGCTGGTTATTTTTGACATTTGAGTTGTCTGTTTCAACTTTAAACTCTGTGGCTGAGTGTTAGGGGCAGGGGCGGAGCTGGAGGGGTTGAAGTGCCACTCTTGGCACCTGATTGGCCACCCCAAAATAAGTGAGGAATGGGTGGGGAGTTTAGATTTTGTATGTATTTAGATATTGGTAAATATTGTTCTCTGATACCACTGTACTGTATGCATTTTTTAGCTGTGTTGGACTCAAAAACTCACTAAGCGCTGGGACACGGAGTTTCTGTCATTACAACTCTACACCATCAGGCCAAACATCCCCACAAAGACAGAAGAGAAGAAAAAGTTACAAACATAAYAAAGCTGTCCTAACCTTTAGATATGTAACTGGGCTTTTGTCAGTGAGAAAAATAAATCCTGCTACAGAACGAAACTAATAGAAAAACAAAACATGTTGTTCTCCCCTAGATTTCTGAAGTATCTGGGGAACTCAGGATTTCCTCCAAAATGTTCAGCGGTGGCCTTTATAAAGCTCAAAACGAGGCCAGAAACTTGTGTACTGATTTATAAAACCTGAACTTGGTGTGAAACTGTGGGCGCAGGCAGAGTTGAAGTTTTTAATTTTGTTTGTTTGTTAACGTCTTACAGAGCCTGAGAGAAAATAAACCTGAAGTAGAGTTTTTGAAGAAATCCATGAGATTACTCTAAACATCTGTAAACGCGCAAAATGAGGGACAATCTGTTGATGTGAGCAGTCATCAGCACCTGTCATCCTCCAGAAGCACGACGGAGCGCATGCTTGAYCCGGCCAATCACTGTTGTTGACACTGATCAGCTGACTGATTTAAATACACCTCAACATTCATGAGTTGCTCTGCAGTGACTGTTTATGGTTGAGTGTGGGCGTGTAGAGAGCACAACCTTGGCCCAAACTCTGAGGTGCAGCAGTGATCTATAAAGGAAAATTGCTTGAAGGTGTGCGTGTGCAGTTTTATGAATCAGGATTTTTGGGGGCATACGCCATTTTCACCTTTTGGCCGTGCGTTCACTTTAGTATGAATTCTTCTCAATCCTTTATAAATGAGGCCCCAGAGCTGTGCTGGAGAAACTAAACATGTTCTCCACTGATCCATGGCTGAACACAGGAGAGCCAGCTCTTCWGGACCAGACTCAGCTGTGAGCTACACCTCAAGGATAAGACACTCTTTGAGGACATGTGGAAAAAGAAGACAGTTGGTCTTATCGGACTGAAGAAAGCTATTTATGACAGACAAAAATTACTGGATTTCACCAGTGTTGTATAAAGTACTACAATACTTGAGTAAAAGTACAAGTATCTTAACAAAAAATTACTTTGGTAAAAGTTAGTCTCCTTTAGAAATATTACTTGAGTAAAGGTCTTAAAGTATCTGATATTTATATAAGCCTACCTGACTCACAGCWTACCAGAATCTGGGACTGGGCAGTTACTGCTGTTCCAGTAACTGCAGGCCCTGGGGACAGAATGGTCAAAAAATACAATTTTGAACCAAGTTTTAAGACAGAGATTGACGATAGGTCAGCCTGGAGTAATTTCTCTATGGTGGACCTGTGTCCAAGTTATTTCTACTGCTTTACAGACGGATCCCTTATAAAGGGGTCAGCAGGTGCAGGGGCGCTGATTCTGCACAACCATAGCAAGAGAGAGTATAGTTACCCACTAGGCAGTTTTGTAAAGGTATCTCAAGCTGASATATATGCAATCCATCAGTGTGCAGCATCTCTCAAAGAACTTCAGTGTATGCAGAAGGAAATATTCATCCTGACAGATAGCCAAGCTGCTATTAAAGCTCTCCAAGGGCCACAGTTCACGTCACTACTGACTTGGGAGTGTGCCGAAGCAGTCAACCAACTGGGGAGAGATAATAGTGTTACTGTTAAATGGGTACCAGGACATACTGGCATTTATGGTAACGAGAGAGCTGACTACCTTGCATGGATCAGACGTCAACACTCAATCCGATGGAAGGAGCTGACGGARTGRAGACAGGCARGGGAACTGATAAACAGCCCAAATCATGGATTTGGAAAATCCCTTCTTGCCTTGACAAGGAATACTTTAAGTACACTGGTTGGAGTCCTAACTGGGCACAATCTGCTCAACCGCCATAAAATGGTGATGGGACTCCAAGACAATGGTCTGTGTGATGCCTGCGGCATTGAATCAGAGACCTCTTTGCACTACTTAGGGCCTAAGTAGTGCAAAGAGGTCTCTAAGTCTTAGGCCGATGCTTGGCTCTGKGTAGTCTAAGGGAAAGAATTCTTGGAGACCCCTTTATGGATCCTGAGAAGCTTAGAACACTGAGGGTTTCTAACCTGGTGTCCTTCATCCGAGGGACAAAAAGGTTTGATTAAAGCCCAGTATCTTTTGGGGAGAGCAATGGGCCCACTTATGAGGCCCCCGCTCACCTGGGTTGTACCCATCCCCAATTACCATTACCTGATATTTTTTGTACTTAAGTATTAAAAGTATTGATTTAAAATGAGCAGTTAGATTTTCTGTAAGGACATTTATTAGGAGGTGACCTCCCCAAAAACTGCAGAAATGACTGTTGTATTAAAAATAATTAATTTATGTTAAATTTAGGATGCACTAGTCCAGCTGTTTGAGTTTATATATATACAATCAAGGCTGCACAAAACTTTTCCCCAAAATGAAAATCTATCTGAGGGCTGCGGCCAAATGTAATAATATAATTCACGAAATACAAATACTTCTTAAGTACAGTCCTTTTATTTTAATATAATGGAGTGAAATGATTTGTGTACAAATATGCTATCAGAATTTTATATATTTATACTTCTCATTCAACCACAATTAAATTCACTCTGTCTAGAAGGTAACATTTATATGGATAGTATTCATTTTTTACAATAACAGGAATGTTAACAAGCAAAAAATAAATAAAAATAACTTTCTACTTCTTGCTTTTTTTTAAAATATAATTAATAAGTACAGATAATTGTGTGAAAATGTAAGAAGTAAAGAGTAGGCTGAAAAAAAATTACTCAAGTACAGATACCCAAAAATTCTACTCAAATACAGTAAAGAAGTATTTGTACTTAATTACTTTACAGCTCTGGATTTCAGCTAAACTTACAGTAAAGCACCAGTTTGACTCTAAAAACGCCTTCATGAATGAAAGCTGGATGTTTCATCAGTAATCCTCTCTGGTTTTTCTCTTTTCAGGTTGCAGGATTCCCGTTGCACCTGCCGTTCTCTGAGATCCGGCCCATCGTGGAGGTGGTGCACAGCACCGGAGTTCACAACATTCAGACATCACACGTGGAGTTTGCTCTGGCTGTGTATGTCCATCCTTACCCCAACAACGTGCTGTCTGTGTGGGTGTACCTGGCCTCGCTCACACATGATGCACACAGGAGGACAAATGTTTAAATTAGTTCCACTCCTGTAAACTGCTTTTTATATACATCATTTATAGGTTCAAACTGTTAATGAATAATAGTCTGTACAGCTTTTTACATTCCAATTAAACTTTGTTGTTTTTTGTAGAGTATTTACATTTTCCACAAGATCGGTTTGGCAACTGAGCATGTGTAGGTGGTCAAATAAATTCATACAAAGTTTTTCTGCGACACCAGTCAATACTTGAGTCTCAGCTGTTAATTATATTTAAAATGTCTAAATGTAATGAACTGTTAGCACTGCTGAAGCTAAACTCTTTTTGTTCTTTGTCAATACAAATAAAACAGCCCATTGCAGTGTTTTAACTGTTCACTTTTATTATGAGTTCAACATTATCAATAAAGCTCGTGCAAGACTTCTGTACCACAAAATAAATCTTACTGTGTGAACAAAGCAGTACTTGATCCTCAAACTCACTCCTAACGTCTCAGGACTGACCATGTTCGACTGCACAAGTTCTTTTTTTAAACCCTGGAGTGCATAAGACAAGAGGAAACAAAAAAAAAAACTTATGGGGATAAAATACTACAGATCACAAACCTGAAGCTAATCTTTAGACTATACAGCAACATGTCATAATTTGTATTTCTGTGCTGCTTTTATTCAGGACTTTAAATGGGTCTCCTCCACCTGGTTAAGTTCAATAAGAACCATCAACATCAGGGATCAGTCAGCTTCAATCTCCAGGACAGCCTGACATGTGAAAATCTAACATATTGGTGGAAAATGTATCTTCAATTTAATTTCCCAAAGCCAACAATGCAACCAGAGATTTTATTTACAGACGTTTAATCCATCATCACCCAGTTATATTTCAGGAGCATTATACCCACCAAATGAAAACATGGAAACAGCAGGAGCTAAATTACAGTTTCAAACAGTTTTAGGTGACAAAAAACACAACAAATGGTCTTCCCAGGATAAAGTGCAAGAAGAGGGAGAACTGCTGGGCGGGGTCACTCTCCAGAGCGACAGCAGGCTCTGAAACCACACTGCAGGTTCTGGCAGCCGCTGGCCGTGTCGGCGTGAGGACCTGCAGAGAAAACACACACGGCTTAACAACTGTTCAACAATCACACTCACATCATCAGGTCAGATCAAACAGGACTCACTGTGGCTGTCACATCACCTACTTACCTTCCATCTCAGCTGCACTGGTTCTTATAGACTGCATGTTTTCATGTCTCACTATTGGACACGCCTCCCCGAATATTCATCAGAAGAACATATCTCCTTACAAATCCTGCTTCAACCCTCTGAAGGCTGTGGTGTCAGCCTTCAGGGCTCTAGACTAACTTTTTGCACCGGTGCGCCTAACATTTTTCCTTAGGTGTACCCAAATTTGCAAACATGTCGTATTTAACATCAACGTTTTAATGGTTCACTTTTTTAAAATCATTGTCCATTATCTGACCTGAAATTTTAACTTAAACATCAAGATAAATAAAATGAAAATTCTAAGTGCAAATGTTTAAGGGTTGAACATTTTATAAACATTTTCATAGTTAAATGTCTTTTAGACCAGGGGTTCTTAACCTTTTTGACCTCGGGGCCCAATTTATTAAAAATAAAGTGGCACGAGGCCCAGTCAGACATTACCAATGTATGGATCAAAATGATAATTATTCTAAATGTTTGTTTAAAATGACAATTATTCTATATCTTGGTTTAATTTTTATTGTATTTACATTATAACTGAATTAAATACATTTACACTTTAAAAGTAAAACTCCTGTCAAATAATCACATGATTATAACAAACATTTTTATATTGTAGCCTGACCATAATTACTTGAACAAATACAACGGTCGGTCAACAGACCACTCAGGCTTATCAACACAAATATATATATATTTATATATTTTAAATGGGCAATATCATGTAAAATCAACATTTGAGTTTTATATCATGTTATAATGTTATACTCATAAAAAACATGTCCAAAGCCTTGCTTTGACTCATCCATGCATGTTTGCCATGCTGAGGAGCAAAACGACAGGTGGGGACCAGAAACACCCCTGGGACGTGTCTTAAGCCGAACATCCTCATCACGGAGCACACCTCCCCACCCCCCGCCCATGACTCCTGCAGGCTCTCGACACTAACAGAGCAAAAGTGAAAGTGAAACTTAGCTGTCTGCTGAGATCCACTACTTCTCACTCAGTGAAGCTCTTTTCAGATTCAAAATACCTTTGAGGAAATGTATTTTCAGATGCCAAGTAGACTGCATCATAGCACACGCGTGAAACAACCCACCCCGACCGACGGGTGACGGGACTGTAGCGGGGGGGGGGGGGGCTTTAAAGAGACAGAGGCCAATTTCAAGGCATTTAGAAGAGGAAGTGATGAGAAGATAAGTTTATTTTCTATTTAAACATAAAAACATAATTTTATAACAGCTAAAGGTGACATAGATACTTTATTGTGTACAGTATTTAAATATATGCCTGAGAAACACATAATATTGGCCCTTTAATATAAACAATAACAAAAATAGACTATTCAAAATTGTGGGCATAAAATAAATAAATTAAAAATGTTTAAATGTTTCTAATACAAAAAAACTGTAAAAATAAATTTGATAAAGTACAAAATGAAAATATAGCCTTTTAAAACTTTGACATAGTAGAGACAGAAGCTGCTCTTCGCATTAGTGACAAACTTTGGCCTTTTTTGATGGGCTGCTTTCATTTTTGCTTCTACTTCACATTTAAAATAAGTTTCCATTCTCGGCAGGTTTCCAAGGTTCCACATATTAAAAAATTTGTTAAAAGTCTGAGTGGTGCACTACTGCTACTAGTGGTGAGAAAGTGTATTCCATCTTATTCTAAATCAATGCAGGCCCGCGGCCCTCTGCAGCCCAAAGTTGAAAACTGTTCCTTTGAGGTCCTGAAGGTGGCGCTAAGAATCTCTGTTTTAGACTACACCTGCCCCTCCTGTAGTTTGGCCTTCAGGATCTATGGCCTTTGCTAAACCAGAGGGATGAACAGAGAATTATGATAAACAGCAGAAGTATTACTAATATTTATTAAATGAGAAAAGGCTTTTTAAAGTAATGAAAATAACAAAACATGAAAAAGTCTTCGAATTAATTTGTGTTAGTTGAATTTTATGTTTCTCTCACTAAAACAATTAGCTGTGTAGTCATAAAACCATTTTCAGAACCTGGAACGTAACCGTGGTGAAGCAGATTATATATAAAAGCGACCTGCCATACAGGTGAGTTTCCTCATGCTGCTGGAGTGATCTGCTGCAGAGCAGAACCAGACTGCAAGATGGACTTTACTACTGGGACTTAAAAGCAAGCAACCATCCTCATTTAATTTCCAGTTAACAGGGAAAAAAAAGGTTTTCTGACTCTGGTTTGTGAAAGAAAAAAAAACACGGTTGATTCACCGTACGTATGTTTTTACTTCATTGAGGGGACAATTGGAAGGTCCAAGTCCCCGTGAGGATAGAAGAACAAGCGTGTGTGTGTGTAGAGCAGAGCGCTGTGTTCATACTGCTAGATAGCTTTATTACGGGACATGGAGACTTGTTGTTTCAGTGGGCAACCGCACCCACCTCACTCCGAACAACTGGGCGCAGCAGTGCGACCGGAAATATTTTTAAGGCGCACTATTAAAAAATCAGGTCACATTTGCGATCAAATTAGTCACACTCTAGAGCCCTGTCAATCCATGTGTTGCAGCCGACGTCGGCCATTACGTCACTGCCCAGCACCATAGGCGCCTACTCATGTGGCCAACATTGTGGACAACCCTGACCATCCTCTTCATCAGACTGTCATACAGTGGTTTGCAAAAGTATTCATACCCCTTGAACTTTTCCATATTTTGTCCCATTACAACCACAAA